ACTTACCTTCTGAAATGCAATCTATTGTAAAATTTTGTCTAGAAGATTCATACAAAGCCTAATAAAGTTAAAGCATGACTGCCGAATTTAAAAAAAAATATATATATTTCCTATATGATGTGAATATGCTATAATATAGTAAAAATAATAAAATTTTAAAATTATAATAAATAATAATTTTTATTAATAATTAACTTATGGCAATGTGTTTTTTTGAACTGTTATGTAAAACTGTATAACAATTATTTATATTTTTATTAATACTAATATAGTGATAGCATTTTTCTTGATATTGCCAATTAGAACATTCTATAAAATATGTTGGTAGTAATGTTTTATCATGATGATGCAAATGTTTTAATATTGGTAGACCAGTACATAGCACACCATTTTTTTGAAATTGACATTTTGTTTTATATGCTGCTAAATATACATTAAATATATAAATATTTATTAGTATTTATATTATAACATATAAAACATAATATATATTAGTTAGAAATCTTATGCAAAAGTATTATTTTCTATGTGATTAGCTGATAATTCATTAGTGATTTTTAATTACAAATCAGAATCAGGATTTACAGATTTGTACTCCATTTCTTGAAGTTCCAGATTTGCAAATTCACATATTTTAACTCCTTGACAAGTTCGCTCTTTTTTTGTAATAGCAATATCACTCAAATAAGTACAAGTTGTTTGATTTTGACCACATGGTTTACCCATCGAATACTGAATCTAAATATTAATTACTATAATATTAATAAATATATTAAAAATTTTAAAATAATAATAATTAAATAATTTATAAAACTTTTACATCTGTAAATGCTGAATTAATATTGCTCCATCCATCAACATAATAAATAATTGTAACTCCTTCTTCACTTGTAGAAGGGTATTCAATTGGAGTTATTGAGTGAATTACTTCTTTAGCGGTTAAACTTTTTGTAAAAAAATTGATATTATTTTCTATATCAGATGAAGTTGGACTAAGTGTTTCTTGAGAAAAGGAATTTATAGAAAATATATTTAATGTATCTTAGAAATCAAGTTCTTCTCCGAAGTCATTATTAATACCAAGATCTCTTTCAGTAAAACTATTTGTTGCAACAGAAAAGGCATGATCTTCATCAGAAGTAATATCGATATGGCAGCACTATAAGACATGATGTTTTAAGTTAACATTAGAATAAAAGTATTGCAAAAGAGAGACTTTTAATTATCATTAATTATCATTAATTATTTAAATAATGTTATACGTAAGAGAGATTATTTAAAGAAAATTATGCATTGGTAGTTAATTTAATATGCTGCATAATATTTAACTAATATGCAATTGTGGTCTCATGAATTTACGGGCCATACACTACTTCATTGATCAACCATACATCACAACTATTCATATTGACCCATACACTACTTCATTGATCAACCATACATCACAACTATTCATATTATTTGACCCATACACTA